CCAAATCCCTCATGAACAGAAAACACCAGAACACCCGGGAAACATGAGCGATGGCTGATTGACGATATGGCCGCAACAGCCTGAAGACGTTACTAACGCTTGACCCTAAAAATGAGCAACTTCAACGAGAGGCAGCTTTGCCCACAGAGAGCTTGAAACTAGTTGAGCTTGTACCCGAACTTGGTGAGTTCCCAGCTGTGCTACCTTGGACAACTTACTAAACCTCTTTTCAGCTTCCACAGCTGTGCCATGGGGGCTATACGTACCTCGCTTGAAGACTGAATCCAAGACAACGTACGTGGTAGCACTTTGCAGCCTGTCAAAGAGCTACGTGTTTGTAGTGTGGCCACTAACCCATCTCGCAGAGCTGGGATCTCTGCTTAAGCGAGAAGGAAATACCTGAGGTGTCACACGCCTGCCTTCCTGTTGAGGGCTCTCTGTGCAGGATGCTGTGCCTATAGATAATGTGGGGTTTGTTTTGTTCCTCTTCGTCTTCTTGTTCATCAAGGGACAGCAGTGGTTCAATAAAATAATCCCCATCATGGGACCGGAATGTGCCCAGCTGCAAATGAAGAGAGGGGAGAGGTTGATTTAATATAACTCAACCAGAAGGAGGGAAAGAAAAGGAACATTGTCAAGTAGACAAGGTGCCGTTTCACCCAATCCCTTCCCCATGAGGGCTGCTTGAATGGAACTTGCTGCCGACATATTTGGAGAAGCAGTTTATTTTCAATCCGCCAGGCCAGGTCCGTACCTTCTTGATTTGACTCTATTGCAACTGCTATCCAAATCTGTTTCTAAGAAATCCTTCCCTGGTGCTCAAATTCTCATCACACTCACTTTTAAAGGAAAGAGAGCATTCTTCTTTGTGTTAAGATAGCCCGGACACTTAGGGAAAAGTGTGAGCTTCCCAGGGAAAAGCTGACCTGTGGAGGCCTTATCATTAATTCAAATTCAGAGAGCATATACTGATCACAGGCACTCCACGTGGCGCTGCCTGTGACATTGG